AAGTGAAGTATCTCTATTTGTTTCTGTTGAGATTTCCTTCACACCCACTGCTAAGCCGTTAAGAAGCAGTGATTAATCCAGTGAAGGGATGAGGAGAAAACATAATACCATTTTCTCTTCCTTTTTTTGGCCCTTTTAAGAAAGTGAATAATATGTCTTTGAATAGTCAGAAATAGTATTTTTCTTCCTGATGAAAAATCTCCAGGAGAAAAGATTAATATGAAAATTGATAGCTTCAAGCATTTTTGTATTACCTGTCACTGACCAATGGATGGGATATATTCCCCTCATGAGCTAGGGCCTGCTGAGGAGTTACCAGATAAGCTTACAAGAGCATAAGACTATGCTCTACAAATGACTTCATGAGTACAATGGTCCCTTCTGACCTCCTAAAATGCTTTGGTAAACTCATCATTCACCTCCACTGAAACGACCATTTACCATTTCCATTATCTAGTTCAGAGGAATCTTTGGAGAACTAATTACCTCACTAAAAAGCAGGTGGCCACTTTGGCTTGTCACTTGTCCAAACATGATGGCAGGATTTTGTGGAAGATGGTCCTACTGTGTCTCATACACCTCCCTCCATGCTCTCATACTCTAAGTGACACAGGGAGACAGACAGGACGGTGCTTTTAGCACACAGAAGAGGGAGGAATCTGACAACTTGTATCTGCTTTAGTCATACTTTGGGAACTCCCAGATTTGCTGTAATTATTTGCATGGGGAGGTCTCTGGGTTTCAAAGCACTGTGTATTAAATAAGCACAAACTTTAAGGACAAAATTAAATTATGCTAACAGAAATCAAGAAATTTGACTGATATCTTTCTATTTCATTTGTCCCCTTGCATACAACTCATCTTAGTTACTCTTTGTCTCTGCTGCTCTCAACTTTGAAAGTACAGCTCCTATTCCCTTCTAAACTGAAAACGTACTCCTTGTATAAGATCACAAAGGAGTTCAAAAATGTCAGTTGCTTTTTTTTATGATGTTTTCTGCAGTTGTACATAATTGTTGATTCTTACACTAAAATACTGCGGGTATGGTAGCTGAGAATCAAGAAAAGATTAGGTAGTAAAAACATCAATTAACAATGTGTACAATGTTTCAGAAATGTTCTTGCACCTGCTTCTCATTTGTCCTCAGCTGAGAAACAAAAGACAGCTTTATCATTGTTATTGTTAGCATTATTGTTGTTGCTATTGCTTATTACTGCCTTTGCCAAAAAGAAAAGCCACACTTCATCAAGCAACTAGACTCCCCCAGCCTGGGCAGGGTTAGCTTCGCTTTCAACTTCTTCAATCATCATTAGCTCTGAAAATGTCACGTCCCATTTGTGCAAAGCAAGCCTCACAAGCAGGTGTTGCAAGGGAACAGCTTGAAGCTGGACTCTAAAATCAAACTGTTTACTTTGCACTGCCTCAGCATCACTTATCTTTCTTTTCAGGAGACAAATTCAGAGTGGCATCATCCTCGCGCCAAAACGGTAACCAAAAACTGCTTGGCGCAGGCTCGGAGCAGCTGGCGGAAAGAAGGCGTTATCATCATCAGTGGAGAATGCTCAGTCACAAAGATTTTGCTGCTCGGCTGCTGACAGCCTGAGAACACTCAAGAGCAGCGTTTCGCAAACTGGGACCAGCTTCCTGAGAGAGGCTGGAGTCCTGCTAGAAGCACCAAACAACGGGCCAGAGGCAATCGAACACAGCCAGCCGAGGCTTGCTCTGGTTAAGGCTTGACAGGACTACAGGTCTTGTGCTATAAATATCGTGTCGTGCACCTCTTTTTTGCTGCTCCTAAGGAAGAATGAAGATATCCTCAGGCTTAGACACAAAATGCAGATGCCTAATTTAATCCAGTGCAAAGCAGTTTGGTAGCCTTCAATGAGAACTGTTCAGCCCCTCCCTGCAGGGGTCCCTGACCGACTTCCCAGCAGTCAGTTTTATCCTGTATCCTCTCATCTGTGAATAAGAGCAAAACAAGGTGCCCCCCTCCCCTTTATTTTTAATACCGTACCTCCTTCAACCACTTCTGCTACAGTTTACAGGAACGATGAATATGCACAGGAAGGACATAAGGTACAATAAGATGCTTCTTGTGTAAAATGTTATTATTTGTAATTAACTTTTAATTCCAACACAGACCATAATTTTTACTTTTTTTTTCCAAATTAAAATAGGGGAGGAGAAAGATCATTAACAATGTAAAGATCATGATCTTGGTATTTTTTTCTTTTTTTCCCTGAGGGCAAAAAAGAAAAGGCAAACTTCATGCAGCCACTAAGGCATAGATAGTTGGCAAAAACTGAATTTTAACTGATAAGGGAGAAACAATTGTCCAATTCACTGTTGAGTCTGGCGTACAGGCAAGAGGAGGCCAAAAGGTCACTCACAAACCGCTAAACATGCCAGACGCTAAGCAAGAACAATTCCTTCTTGTGGGCTTGACATGGAAACCAGGTTTCTAAGGCTCCTCAGTTTGTTACCTCTCTCCCAAAAGCAAGAAAAAAAATATTCCTGACCTATATTTAATATGCTGAATACTGACGCTTGCCTTGCATTCCACAGAAAATGCTCCTTACCTCTCTTCGACCCTCTACCAAGCTGGCTGGTATACTAGGAATTGGCTGCATGCTGTTCCCCAGATCTTCACTCACGTTTACAGGGAAGCAAACCCATCGATCCCGTTCTTCTCGCTTGTTTTGATTTGGTTCAAAATAAGGGTTTTGTTATTCCTGGCCTTTCCCTGAGCTCCTGCCCTTCATCCTGCCAAACCCAAAACTCACAGCTTGCTCTGGCTTCGGCGGAGCCGCAAAGGCTTTGCAGTGCCTATACAAAACCAAACATGATTTGCTCATTAAAGGTAAGCTTTTGGGGATGTGCCCCATGTACTGACCTCCACCAACGGCCTGGGTTTGCGCTCCACTGCAAACCTGAAGTGGCAGAGTTCACAGTAGCTGGTGTTTGAAGACGACAGCCAGTGCTCCAGGCAGCTGCGGTGAATAGTCCCCAGGGTCCCCGTACATTCGCAGGGGGAAAGCAGGTCTTCCTGACTGCTGCCCTCGTGGCAGATCCTGCACATCGGCCGGTCATTGAAGGGGCTGCTGCTGGAGGAGGAGAGAAAATTGCTGGTCAGTATACAGAGTTGTGATCTAGCCCCACTCTATTTCGCTCTGCATGTCACAAATTAGGAACGTGGGAAACATTTGCAGCTTGCGTACTTTGCTCTGTAGTTAGTACAGCATGCTGCCGGGCTAATGGCTGCTGGCACTCTGGTATTCTTGTTTAAAATCCCTCTTCCGTTGAGGGGTGGGGGGGAAGCAGAGAGTGAAAAAACATCAGAGTGGCAGATGAGAGACAGACAACCGAGTGCTTCTGTACCTTTGCATTTACCACCCATTCACAGTGCAGAGGAGCAGCCGCTTCAAGAAATCCCTAAAAGAAAACCTGCCTCAGCTGGGCACCTCTTATCCTAGTGATGATCCACGCCGTCACTCCTGACCTGCAGGGTAGCACCTCCAACGCTAGTGATCATCCCCTGACCTACAGGGTAAAGCCGTTTTCAGCGATCAACAGCAAAGGACCCCTGGACCTGACACAGCAGCACCCTGTCCTGTAGCGGTGGGAAGGCAGGACCACAGCTTCAGGCAGGCATGTGCAGGCAGGAGGCTCCGGTCCCTGGGGAGCGTTTCCCTCTCTTTGGGACAGTGCCCCACAAGCACCTCAAGGAGTGATATTAATGGCACTGAAAAGGAAGTCTGTGCCAAATGCATCCCTCCCGCATTGCTGCCCGTGGCGATTTCTCCTGCGTTGCCTCCCTCAAAGCACCCACCTTCCTGGTGGCAGGGTGCTAATGTGCAAAGGGGGATGGGTGCTCCTCCTGCCAGTGGAAGCCTAAGGACTATGATTTTAACTACTAACATGCTCTGTTTTTGAGGAATCTTTTGGGAAAGGGGAAGGCAGTCACGTGGCTTCCCGGGGTGCTCAGGCTCAGCAAAGCGGGAGGAAAGCACTCCACTCAGCCCCCCCGACTGCCAAGGCCGAGAAGGTTGATCTCGTGGCTGGGGTCTTGGAACCAAAAACTCTCCTCACCACACACGCCACCTCAGGTGATCTCCTCAGAAAAGCAGGTTTTGTCGCTGTCGCTGACAACACTTCGTTGGGCGATAGTGTACGGTGGTACACAGCTGTTCCCTCCGTCCCTTTTCTGTCTTTTTGCAGGCTGCCCCGGGTAGACCTCACCCAAGTGGAACTGCAGGCACGGGTGAAGAAACCAGCCTGCTCCTTTCAATCTGCCTAGTAAAACAGTATGAAGTTGTACTCGATGCTCTGCACACACACCTGAGCTGTGCAAAATGCACTGGGTTTAAAAAAGTTGTTACAAGCAAAGGGGAAAAGGCCCTTTCGGGCTGTCACATTGCACACGCAGCAGCAGTTAGCAATTTCACTCTTCATACGAGTGCAGTGGATCGGATTATCTTTGCTGTTTTGTGAAAATTCAGGGCTACTTCAAGACCCATGCAGTCTTGCCAACTTCACACCAGTGAGGTGGAAGTTCATTTTGACCCAACTATTAAGCCTGCATATGGCCGAATTCTTAGGCATCCCCTTTCTTGCTTCTAATGAAAACAAAGCCAACCTGAAGCAGGCTAGTGTTTCAAAGGGTACAGGTTAAATGTGTATTTCACCACTAATCTGCCATTCTAAACCAGCAGCCGGAAGAGCCACTCTCCCTCACTTGGATGATTGCTGAAGCAGCAACACTCATGCATGCACCTCCGCTAGACATAGCTTGTCTGGCCACGCAGCGCGCCGGCTCGGGGAGCGTGGAGGAAATGTGCCGCAGAAGTGCTGGTGGCAGCACGCAGGCTAAACACAGCACCCCGTGCCAGCCAGTGCCTGCCAAAGCCTCCCACTACGCATCAGGGCAACTGACTGCAACTGGCACACTTGAGCAGCAGCATCCCCAGACACCTTGCGTCCCCCTTCTTCACTGAGCATAACAGTGAGGGCTTAATTACATATGTAGCATAACCATTATGAAGGTAGGACGAGGGTTCAATTACACCTGGTGATTACACCATGGTGAGCCTTCACGAAGCACACCACCCCATCTTCCCTTCAAGCACCCACGGGACTTGTGGGCGGCAGCTGGGGAGGGTGCGCTGGAGCCCAGCAGGGAACGGGCACGTCCCGTCCCGCCA